ACTGGAAATTTGATCCTCATCTTGCACTTCAGCAATCATTTCCTTGACGGTCTCCTCACGACAGTAACAAACATTTTCATCAATTGATTCGTAGTCCTGCAGCGTGAAAAGGGCAGAGAGCACGACCTCAATGAATACTGCCTCAATGTCGGCATCAGCAGGGCTTTCTTATTAATCAGGTACTGCTTCTTGCACTTGAAAGCCAGCATTATGAAAGCATCTGTATTGTTGTTGCCTTCACTTGCTCCCAGGCACGAGCCAAAATGTGGATAGCTGCCAATAAATCTATGCTGTAGCATTTCCCGCTGTCTGCACAAAGCAGCACTCAATGAAGCAATTGTCTGCAGTAATGAACTTTAATGTTCTGAATGACCCCTTGATCCATCGGCTGCATCACTGCTGTTGCATTGGCTGGCAAGAACTCCATAATGATGGCTTGGAGTCTTCCAACTGACGGTGGGCTGGGCAATTATCCACGATGAAGACAACCTTCCTGCCTTGCCTCGTAAATCTTGCGTCTTTCTCCCATAGCCAGTTTTTGAAAATGACCATAGTCATCCACTTTCTTCCGTTTGCATGGTACACAATGAAAAGTGTTAAACGCCTTTGAAACAACGTGGTTGCCTTGATTTTCTAATTACCAACATCTTCAATTTCCTATCTCCTGCCATGTTTGCACCCACCAGCACAGTGATGCGATCTTTACTGCGTCTTCCTCCACTACCAGCTTCGCCTTTTAAGGTGAGAGTCTTTGATAAAAGCAACTTATAAAAAATACCCATGTTGTCGACGTTGAAGACATCTCGTGGCTCAAAGCTCATCAAAATTTCCTTGCGCCGCCCCTGTTGCCAGTCGATGCAAATGTCCCTGTTGACTGCAGTACTCTCACCTGAGATTGCTTTGAGGACTAGGTCATGGTGTGTTTTGAAGTGGCTGAGCCACCTGTTTCATTTCATTTCATTTTCGAAGGCACAGTAACTCCGCCCAGTCACCCTATCCAGACTATGCAAGTAATCTCGGAGGCGCATCGTAAAGAACACCGCATTTTGTATAAGTCAACCTTCCATAGTTACAACGCAAGAAACTTGACTTCATTAATCGACCGTAAACACGCGTCTTAGTTGTTTGCCTTCCTGTGCCTCTTTGTGACATGCGCAATGCACCCTATTTTCGTACACATGTTTTTTAACACCTGCAATAACCTTTCAGTTACGAGTGAGCGTTCACGGTGCATATATTTCTTTCCTTGTCCCACTTCTTTCTTTTCACCCTGTAAGCTTTATTCCAACCTGTAGTAACAGTGCCACGGAAAGTTGGTATGTGCATATCGGGTAAGCGACGCACACTCGGTCTAGTGCATGTATAGTTACAGTGCATTCTAAGTAAATAGAAATCTGTTAAACGAAACTGCTGCTTAAACGGAACAGCTGCCTCTAGCACAATTGGTTTCGTATCTGAATTCTGCACTTCTGCTCATCACCCCGTAAATGAAACTCTTTTCAAACAAAGCACATTTTTCTGGTCCCTTGAGGTTCCGTTTAACGAGAGTCTACTGTATTTCTAGCACACTCTTTAAACGCCAGAACCTTACAATTTACTTGGGTACAGTGCTGATGGCCACTGATTCTTAAGCATCCGTGAATGGACTTCTGCTGCATTTTTTAGGCAACCAGATTGTGTGTGTGTGTGTTTTCATTTATGCCAAAGGCGTATTGACCCTAAAGGATAATATTAAAACTAAAGCCTCTGAGCCGCTCGGCTGGTTTAACAGGGTGACGGTGGAAATAGTAGACAGGCCATCGCAGCTAAACACCAAAGTATTGAGTGAATCACGCAGTAATATAAAGCACCTCGCCAAGTTCACTCGATCTCAGAAACGCTGACACGATGCAAAAGGAAGGCTAAAACTTGAGGCCAGCGTGCTGGTGCCGGCGGCTACTGCGGCATACCCCTTTTTCCCATGAGTACTTGCGCACCAATTGGAGGCGTATCATAAAAAAACACCACATTTTGTATAAGTCAACCTTCTATAATTATAACAATAGAAGGCGGACTTATACTCATAAGTTTAATAGCACTGTCACATGTAGTAACTTGAGTGCACTTTGAGATTGCAACTTGAGTGCACTTAGTCATGAGTGCCATTTGCACGCTGTCACAGGAAAAACTTTAGCATAACTCACTGCAAAGTACACTTGCCGGCAAGTGCGTTCGCCAACCTCTCTTCGCTGTGGCAGTGTGTGTAGCCTCATTAGAAGTGGCTCGTACATAAATATGCTATTGCATCAAGTGGTGCTCATAGTAATTTTAAACTATTGTTTTTCTTATCAAGAATAACACTGTGTATTATAACAAGTCACACTAGATAGAAAAACCTCACTATTCTCACTCTCGGGCAGTTTGTGGCCATGTGCATTAGGGGGATGCGGGCTGCGTTCGTTGCGTTGTTTACTCCTTTGCACATGTGCAGGTCAGTCGTTCCCTAGTCCTTTGCAATGGCGTGTGCCACTGGTGCTACTTCTATGAAGACAATCGTGGTCCGGTACTGAGATACAGGCGCAAAATGTTGGGATACTAATCCGTCCATTGCCACTTCCATCATTTACAAAGTACATTTAGCTTTTTCGTGGAGCACGGCACTGCCAAAGCGACATTCTGTTATCACAAGTGTGCTCGCTCAAAGTGCACTTACGTTAGCACATTTGACAAGGGTATAATTTTGTGTAGACACTTGTGTCAAGTTTTCCACACCCCTCCCCTTTCGTAATGCTGAGCAGCAGGCCAGAAAATGGATTCAGGCCGACCTCTCAACTTTTCTGCCACAATAAACATTTATTTCTCTCTCTCTCTGTTAAGTTTCTCGCTGGCAAAAAAGTGGCATGCTGTTGGAGTGTACTAGAATGAAGGAGTGGGTCCACCAGCAGCAAGTGGTGATGCTGAAGCAAAGAACGCTGAACATTTGCAGTGACACGGCAGTTGCTTTCACTTGAAATTATGGTTAGCTCCAGCAGTAGATTAAGGGTGGGGAGATATTGGCAGCACACTGACGGAAGCATCAAGCACTTAATTCTATCTCCTCGACGCAGCATCGTATGTCCAAAATATGACCGAACATGCACCTTTTTCTTCATCAATTTTTCTAGCTTCTTTTTATACAAAAATAAATTAAAAGACATGGTTAACACTATAATTACTACTGACAAGTAGAATATTTAGTCATATAAACGTTTCCTTCCCTTTTGTTGAATTGTTTTGAAACATGGTGCGACACCATCTGCCATGTTTGACAGGCGACTGCCTAAATGCCAGCTGGTGTACACAGTGTCTGAATGAACACACCCTAGCCGTGTCAACAAGGGCCCTGTCTTAAGGTGAAGGCAATGATAATGCTGTCTGTATTTTCATTAATGCCTCAGTGCAGAGCCCACTGTGAACCCCCTACTTCATTCTAGTACACTCTTGTGCTATCCTGGAATGGCACCATAATTAAAGACAGCTGAGAAACCATTCGATCATTTACAAGAGCAAAAGACTGCACTTACTGTTCATAACATCAATCATAACAATGTTCCCTTTCATATATCAATATATTCATCTTCCTCTTTACCAGACGTGCCACACTAAACAATTTCAATCTTCCACTTACTAATCATGTTTATGGACAACGATTGATACAATTTGCAGATGTTAAGATCTGAAATAATATTCTGTACAAAATAAAAGAAAGCACAAGTTTTTCCTGTGTGCTAAAAAAGTACTTTCTTTAAAAAAATTAACAGTTACACTAACATGCACATTTCCTGCAATGACATATTAATTGTATATTGCACTTGACATTATTCTGTATGTATTTATATTTGATGTAATGAATACAAATATTATGTTGCATGCATATCCATGCCTTGTTGCGCGGTATTGCCATTTCCATGGGAGCGTTCTTTTAGGGCTATATAATTTTTTTTTTATGTTTGGATCAGTTTTTTCTTGTTACGACTTAAGTGTACTTTTAACAGCTGCTTTGTTTAAACTAACCTGTTCCTTTAAATGTATATTTTATTAGACCCCTCACTAGCCGGTGGCTATGGGTCTAACAAGTGGTGCATATTTTCATGTAGTAATAACTTCTACCAATAAAGAACTAACTACAATGACGGTAATTTTCAGATAGTACTGGCCAGGAAAATATGGCATGCACATGGACTTTCTTAGAAGTCTCATGCATGGCACAGAGCATTAAGACGACAACTTGTAAACGCAAGAAATGCAAGATAATGCAATAGATTGCAGGAAGAATGGCATGAAACCACCTCCGATTGCAATAGGTATGGGCAGTAGATTGATTTCGGAGGCCTTTCTTTTGCAATGTGCCCGAAGATACATCATGAATACTGTATTGAAGTTGCAAGTACAGATCTCAAAGGCCATGCTTTTCTTTGCTCATGGAAAACTAGAAGGCAAGATGGGTATCATGTGCCAAGTTTGGGGTGCAATCATTGCACAGGAAAAAAAAATATTATTTTGACAACAAATTTTAGGTGCAGGTGTCCATGGACTGCTAAGTAGGACTGTATTGGACTCAAGCAGGCCACTGTTTTGGGGGTGGGGATGCCTGCTTGAAATTTTATGGTAGTGAATATCAAACCACTCCACTTATGCATGCAATAAATATAGTTATTTTTCAGTTACACTTCATTAATGTAGAGTGCTGTACAGGTTAGTGCTAATATTCATGGGAATAACCTCTCTTTAAAAACTCACTATTGTGTTGCAGCGAACTAAGATACGGTAGTCAGAAAAAGTACTGCTACCATACAAGTCCAAAAGCAGCCTAGAAAATAGTTTTTAAAAGTCTTTCTAGATGTGATAATAGCAATACAGTTCTTGGTTTCCTGGGTGGAACCATGAATAAATTGAAATGTGCAGGTCAAGTGACAAGATAAAAAAAAATGATAATATTAAAGAAGTACATTGAAAGAGAAGTTGAAATGAATGTTGCAAACCTGCTTAGGAAGTTTCTCATATCTGGACAATAATTTCTTGTAGTCCTCCACAGTATTGAACACCATGTAGTCGACGGTTTGGAAAATGTCCACATGAACTCCTTCAATGAAGCTGATTGGATAAAGGTGGCTGAAGGGAGAAAATCAACAGAAGCTTTCAAGATCAACGAGAAAAATGAATCAGAAATAGGGCAAAAACACATAAGTCAAAGCCCACAGGTACATAATGTGATTATCAATATCGCACTCAGGCCACATGTACAAACATGTACCACAGTCAGGCCTTATTAAAAACAAGCTACATTCATACAAGAATAACTTAATTCTATCAAGTATTCATTATCAGCAATGCTACCAAGGTTTTATGAATTAGAGCAATTTTTAGAGCACAAAAGCTTTCGTTTTGGAGCACTTTGGAGGAGCAAAATTTTCATTTTGGAGCACTTTGCAGCAGCAAAATTTTTCATTTTGGGGCACTTTGAAGCAGGTAATCTTAAATCTGGGAGCACTCAAGAGCAGCTTTCACAAGACAGAATACTCTGAAGAAGCAAGTTGCACTTATATTCATTGGCATGAATATTTATTTTCGGGCTCTTGTGAAGAGCTAGAAATATTTCGATTCATTGCAAATGTCATGGAGCCAATGATCTTAGCACTCCCTATTTCACTCGATGATGCAAAGATAATGGCATCATGCTGTTGAGCACAGGCGTGCGTGGGGATCCCCTTGAAAGGGGGGGGGGGGGGGATCGAAAACAGAATAGCAGCACTCACCACCTTATTACTTGAATGTATGGGGCAGGGTTCGCGCAATCTCCACCCCATCTTAGGTGACTAGGGGGGTGGCTGCCCCCCCTCGTGCTCACAACATCCAACTTCATCAGTGATTATTTTTGTAGCAAGTAAACAGAATACTAATTCAATAAAGTGGTACTTTAGAAAATAACATTTTAAGTACACCTACGTAGTTATCAGGAGACATGGTAGACAAATGGTATGACGTAGAACGATAGAGACTCACACTGTCTCAAATGTATTCCCACAGGATGACTCCAAAAAGAAATAAAGGTTCTTTTTTTTTCACTATCAATCATATTTCTGGGCATAACATGATGTCACTTAGCTAGCCCCATAAATTCAACCTCCTCCTACACTTCCATCTTGAGGCTTCTCTGTGCTAGGACTACATGATTTAACAAACTTCCTTTTCTTTTTGCAGTGAAGTTGTATATGGCTAGGGCTTTTTGTCTCTACACCGAAAAACCCATAGTGTCCTGTAAAAAGCAGTGCAAAAAAGAAAAAAATGATCACAGAGTACCGTAAGCATACACATAAGTCAACTCAAAGGCAAAAGCTATATTGTTTTTATTGCAATAGCCATTATATGGACATTCGCGACTGGCTTTTGCTGTCGCTGTCATGTTTTGTGTGATGTTCAAATCGATGTCCCCCTCCCCCAGCGCATTCCATGTTTTACACGGGGTGTAAAAGCACATAAGCGGGGTGATGAATGGGGCTGAAGAAGAGATAAAATGAGCCGATGTATCTCCGTTGCACGAAGGGCATATGCAGTAACATCACCTCGCGTGCCAGGCCTGCCATAGATCGCTACTCGAGCAGAGAGGAACGCACTGCCAGTCTTACAGGAGCACAAACAAATGCAAGGGGTGGGGGGACATTGTGGCCCTGGAGCAGCAATTGAGGACTTTGACTTTAAGAGAATGATTGCTCGTGAACACATTATTTTGGCAGACATTGTGGACTGCTTGTATACCATTTTAGGTGTTGTACTCTCAATGTGAAGAGACTGTGCGAAAAGTGCTTCGCTTCCTGGTACGGCCATATAAGGGGTATGTATGCACTGAACCTTGATCGCAAGGGTGCCGCACCATCGTCACGCGATTTTGAAGGGCCATTAGTATGCACTGTTCATGCTGTGCGATCATCAGTGTGCAAGAGGTGCTTCAGGGGTCTCTAGTCATCCAAGTCGCCGTACGGATATCGAACACAGCACATGCTACAAGCCTTCTGCATGTGCGAAGAGTGCATCGACCTTCAAAATGGCAACTCCACCGCTAGTGCTCCTCGCAGATGACATCAAATTGCATCCTTTCGACCCGATATCATCTAACTCCACAGAATGTCGCTTAAAAGGGCTATGGCCACCCTAAGTGCCGATGTGGTTTTTTTATTGTCAGTTATTCAACGCGAAGCAGAAGTTAATAGCTTAGAATGTTTATGAGCAGTTTCATGACGCCTGAAGATAGTGAGCGCCAGCGACTGCACTCTTCGAGCGACGCAGCCTCCCACCCCTCATAACGAATCAACGAGAAGCATTGAATACGATACTGTAACATTTATTTTCCAACTGTCAACTGTAGATACTGGGATGCAGGGGGCGGACATGTAACATGGCATAGCCCCTTCACAATGGGCCTTCCGACACGACGGCCATCAGCGATGGGCCCACTACTGAAAGCTGCGTGTATTATAAACGAATTGTGGCTGCTCGAGTCAGGAGGCATGCTTTTATTAAGACGACATTTTTGAAAAAAAGGGTGTGAAAAATTTGAATTCGGACCCTAGCACTCACTAGCTTGAAAGGGTACTGTCTTTTATGGGCATTTACTGCAGGAGCGATTACGAATGTGGATGTGCTGGTGGAAGGAAATACGAAAAAGCTTTCCTGAATGAAGATACATGCATAAAGTAATATTGAGGAAAAGTGTTGACGCGTTCTCACCGTGCACCTGTTCTTTTGTGGACGAAGCATGCCATGTCCAGAAACAGAGACATTATGGCAGCATGTGTGCAGCTATTAGAGTTCATTGCTTTAGTTACATGCAGTGTGGCTCTTGAAACAAGCAATCAGCAGCATTTTTCGAATGGACGACATCCGTGAATGAATCGCTGCTACAGCTACACGCTACTGATTGGAATACACATCACAAGCCCCTAGCTGCAAAGAGTGCGTCTTGCCGTTAAGCCGACTTGCACAACAGAAGTTGCTCCGCACCAAGCACAGCATCGTGGATTACCTGGGACGTATTTGCGACCACTGTTTATTCAGTAGAATTATAGGTATGTGGTTGCAACTTTGGCGGCCCCGAGAACAAGCTTCACACGTTCTGACATGTCGGTGTGGTTACTGACGGTGATAGACGCAACCAAATCCAACTTTGGTGCAGTAAATCTGATTTGGCGCACTTTGGCACAGTTGGCAAAGGAGTGGAATCACTGTATTATGAATGTATATGCAGAGATCAGCAACAATTAAATAAATGAAATTGTAATGATGTTTCGAGAGCGAGAGACATGCACACACGATGCAAGTTCATTTTTAATACCTGCTGATAGCTTCTAGTGTTAATGTGTTGAATGTGAGAAATGTCCAAGTTACAAATACCATAATAAAATGACTGTCCACCACTCGAAAAAGTTTTTCCAATTGTGGCACAAACGAAAAAATCGTTCATCACACTGCCCGCAAGATGCATGCTTTCGTGCCCGAAAAAAAGAATTATAATTTAAACTTGATGTTGAAAGTAGATAAAAAGTGACCACTAGCGTCACCCAACAGCAAATATGGTCAATCTTCACAATCTATTTGTAGGACAAGAAAACCTTGCAGGTAGACTTAGTTTGCTTAAAAGCAAACACGTTTAACTTGAAATTGTATTTCATGTACTTAAGGCAGCTTTAGGTTGCACCAGAGACCAATTTTTGCTTTTTTTTTCTCACACTTTCTAATAGGTGTCCTGTGGCACTGCTGGGGGTGTGTTCGCTTGCCTGCATGCCTGCCTGCGAACGGCTGAGAAATACGACCATGGAGTCCGCCGCCACTCATGAGAAGAACAAAAAAGTGTGTGCGCACCTAAAACGACCATAAGGTATTTGTTTTACTAAAAACCAAACTTGATGGAGCCTGCAAAAACTGCACACGGTTTCAGTTTTGAACTTTTGCTGGCACCGAACAGTTTTGTGGGCATTCATCCCACCAATGGAAGGAGACATAACGCGGACAGAAATATTCTGTTTGAAAAATTAAAAATTTCTATTCACTTTCCAGAGAAACAGCTGCAAAGTTAGACACTTAACATGATACGCTTTTTATCGCGACACAAAACAGGAGAGCAATGAAAAACGGTAGAATGTCCCTTTAAAAAACACCATTAGCATGGATTATGTAACCAGGGTGATAATAAGAGATCAGCTTGATGGCCTGTTAAACAAGCTTTTGAATGCCATGACAAGCTCCTTTCCAAAATATACACTGATGTTCAAATGTGCTGACAGTTTCACATTTTTGCATTAGTGTGATAAACTCTCTGTCACTAGCATTTTTCGAGTCATTATAGCAGTAATCACTGAAATAAAGCATGGGAAATGTAATACTACCTCACGTTCCCTTTGTTTCATCTGATAACTCATCATATCCATATACCTTACATCACTGAAGGTAGACTGCACTAAAATATACGGTGATGCACAAGGAGGAGGGTTAGGCACCGCAGCCCAACAATCGCTTTCTTCCTTTTCTCAAACTGATACACCATGACAGGTTTATACCACAATAAAATTACTGTCAACTTTTATTTTTTTTTATATCTCAAGATGACAACTGTTAAAAACAACCACCATACACTTCGAGCCGCATCAACCACTGTAATAAGATAGGAATCGAATCATATGATGCACAAAATCTTTCTTTCACTCTTTCATTTTCTATACATCTCAGGAATGGTAATATCTGCCCCCAAGCGCTGCAACCATCAATGATAACAACCTTATGCATGAAACATTAGCTAACATTATACAAACAGAAGAATTATTCTGCCACCTGAACTAATTGCAGTTGTAGGCTTATTTTTTATAATTCAAAGTCACTGCACTTGTTTGTTTTATAACCTGTAGAATCATTATTATCCAGACTTAGTGCACTCATTTGTCTTGTATATTTCATTTCTTGTAATCACTTTACCCTTACATGCCATTTAGCCCACAAAAATTATAAATAAATAAATAAATGGATGAGAGAGACTGACATTTAAAAAAGTACGTCAAAAATTAATAAAACGCTTTAGTACCCATGTGTGTCGAGACCACGAAGGTATCCATCCAGCCCATCAATCAGTATGTTCAGGCTTGCTTGAGACCACTGGTCTTTCAACTTTGGCAGCAGCTCTTTTGTTTTTTTGAGGAAATACTGAACCTTCTCCTGCAAAATGAGAGGTCTTGTTTACCTACAGTAATTCTTCCGTAAAATTACCCATAAACGTCATAGAATGTTGAAACAAACTATGAAAGCACTAATTTTTGTTTATAAATAATAACAGACATTTTCTTTTAATTTTTTTTTCTTCTGTAATGCATGATCTCAATAGATTACAAAATTTACAGTCAATGAAGCTATGTAACTTAGACAACACTGGCCAAAAGGACATACAGTTGCATATCTCGTTTCTTTTTTTTAATTCTAGTACCAAACGCTACAGGATATAAAAAAATTACACCCTCTCTTACTAAAGGGAACTATGTGAAGATGCGAAGCAGTGGGCACTAATGCTTACATTGGCGGCAACGTTGATGCTGGTGTTCATCGCGGTGTTGCACAAGAGAGAAACCTGGCGAGCCGCAAAGCACACAGTGATGGGCCAGTGTTTCCTACTGGAACATGCCAATCGCTGCTAATGAGCAATCAGAGAGGGAAGGCTCGGATTTGACACAGCAGCCCACGGTTCGCTTTTAGTTAACGTGCCCGCTGAGAGTTTGTGTTTTTCAAAAACGCACAAGAGAAATCTCCAACTGGCATTACATTAGAGGTCAAAATCAAGTGCTTATATATGAGTTGGTCAGAGAACGGTTGTGCAGCGCAAGCCGTCGGCTTTTTCAAACAAGAAACTTGCTAGGAAATGCTGCTTGCGTCGGAGTTGCAAGGCAAGAGAGGGAAAGGGTAGGAGAGGAGTGGGAGGGGCAGGGGAAGCGCATGTGCAATGGGGGTGTAAATGGCGTGGGGAGGAATGCCAAGAGAAGAAAGGGGGAAGTGAGTGTAGGTTAGCACACGCTTCCTGCATCGGCGTTGCGAGGGGAAGCGTAGGAGAGCAGAGAAGCGTGAGTGGACGCGCATGCACAGTAAGCGTAGCCACGCCGCACAGCCGATTGAGCTCGACCCTAAGCTGCTTCGCATCCAACAGCCCTTTCCACTTTTAAACACCTCTTCGTCTAAATGCAGCAATGCTTCAACTATTATACTGACATCACTCCCAAATCACAGTTTTCAATCTGGCATGTACTGTGAAAAGTTCACATACGCTCAGTAATTTACAATATGTTCTGGTAAGAGCAAAACACTGGCATCGTGCACAGCATTGCCTCAGGTGACCATTGCTCAGCAGTCACCTCAGGGAATGCTGTACACGGTGTTGCCAGTCATTGAACTCAAGGTAAACGCCAGACAACACATTTAATGAACCATCTGGTGCCCCACTTAGCACTCAGCATGAGGTAAAGATTAGCTAAGAGACTTTCTGCACAGGTGGCATAGTGCTCTTTTTACAAACACCACTGGAATGCCACACATTTTCAGTCTCATTTCTGAGGTGCTGAAAAAAATTCTTGAAATTAAAGAAGAAGTATTGAACACCAGTCAGACAATTGACCATTTGCGGAAAAGTGAGTGCCCCCCGTCGTTGTAAACAGGAAAGCTTCACTCGTGCTTTTGGTTGGAAAACATCTTCAGCAACTAATATGCTCAAGGCAGTGTTTATCGGTTCAAATGCCCTTGTTTTGTTGCTTTAGGGCAAAAAATGCGTGCCCATTATTGAAACAAGATAGTAAAGAAGGAAAACATTCTGTTTTCGTTTGTATACATGGTGTAAAACAAGGATTTCTCGGCGACGCGAGGTGATTGATTGATTGATATGTGGGGTTTAACGTCCCAAAACCACTCTATGATTATGAGAGACGCCGTAGTGGAGGGCTCCGGAAATTTAGACCACCTGGGGTTCTTTAACGTGCACCCAAATCTGAGCACACGGGCCTACAACATTTCCGCCTCCATCGGAAATGCAGCCGCCGCAGCCGGGATTCGAACCCACGCCCTGCGGGTCAGCAGCCGAGTACCTTAGCCACTAGACCACCGCGGCGGGGCCCGCGACGCGAGGTGATACCGGCAGTTCGTTACTCCGACGGTTCACCAGGTTCATCACGCCTGCTCCTTCAAAAAGAACATTATGTTATACACTTAAAGTTGACCCCTGAAATGTCTGACGATTAACTAGGTTCAGTGAGGGTGGCTTGCACACCGCCTGTGAGGTGTGGTTTTTGTGTGAGAACGGCAGTTTTAGCCGTTACTGCGGGTCAAATCGTTAGAACGCACTGCAATTGTGTTACCGGAAAAGATTTATATATATATAAATATATATATATGTATATATAATTAGAGCACACTATAGACGTATCTAGTACACTTTAATATAAGTGCTTCTAGTTGAAATTTCCAAAGTGCCAAATTACGATGTAATAATGAATATGCACTTCCCTACTATGCTATATTCGATTTCTCCACGTAACAAGACTTTTTCCTACTATGCATAAAAGGGCTACACATGCAGCTGCCACTGTTGTGATTATTAAATTACTCATGCTTCTATGAATAATTGTTCACACAGATACGTGAGAGCACATCCTCACATAAACAGAAGTATTGTGCAGTAACGCTGATATATGCGAGACTCATGTGCTGCCGTACAACACTAAAGAGATCAGAGAGTGTTAGTTCGGCCAGAGGAGGCGCTGGTTTGGCCAGCGCTGATACAGCACTTATGGCAAGCCGCGTGCGGCACAATCGTCTCTTTCAATAAAGGCTCCTCCTCGGCCAACACTTCACATGCTGTTATCCGAGTATCTCTTTTCAGCACGTAGCCTCGCGGTCAAGAACCTGTCAAAGTTAGCACTCATTTCTCGGTTTTGCTGGGACGAAAAACCAGTAAAAACTAAAAAGAAGGACGATGAAGGCACAACACAGTAACCGGTAGTTTTCTTAGGTTTTTTCGCACCTAAACATGAACTATCAGGCCCAGCTCTTCATGCCCATCTCAGGCCTATCTCAGTAAAATAATTCATGCAGTGTGTTCGCATATTTGCTCTAACTACGAAAGCAAGGCTGCTCAACCACGGCTAACGAATGTATCACCGGCGGCTGGCCGGGCTGATGTTTTCCAACCAAAACAAAAACGCCCATAAAGGGCGCTACCTGTGCCATTACTGCTCATGCGCAGTAGTTTTCCCGCAAACAGTCCATTGCTTGCACCTTCCTTTTTGTGTGCCCCAGCATTGACCTCAATGATGAGGCTCCTCAATAGTGAAACAACTTCTTATGAAACGCAAGTTTCACTTGAGCACTCCACCTGTCATGTTTTACCATGGAGGCCTCATTCTACCTGTGCCTCAGAGAAGAAAAAAATGCATGCATCTCCACAAAGTGAACCATGACTAGTGGGCAAACCTCTGGGTATCGTATCAAGAGTAACTGTATGTTGCCCGAGTGCTGCCCCATTTAATATAGTATGAGTGACATAAAGTGGGTATAAAAATGTGAATTTATTTAACATTCCAATCATCTTAGGCAATTCAAGGAGGATTTAGAAAATTGCTGGAGTGGGGGATATGCCTCGAAAGTGAAACTGAGAACCAGCTAACTTACCAGTGGAATTATACCCTTTTAATAAGGATAATTTGTAAGGACATATAGTGCTCGACGTATACCTTTGCGTTGCAGGTTTCCTTGAGAAGCCTCAAACACCTAGGCAAATATTAGTAGAGATCAATTCAACAATACTCTTCTCATTGGTTTACTTTTTCCCGCAACCTGTTACCTTATAATTAGCTTATGTTTATGCTGAAGTCTATAGTAAAACCTTTTGTGTGTGTGTGTGTGTGTGTCTTACATGTGTTTCGACTATAGTGATGGCTCTACACCATTACAACAACGGCAGACAAGGCTAGGTCCTAGGAGCTTTGCCTGTAAAATGTTACCTAAGGTTTTTTTCAGTATAGTCCAGCCAGTACAAATAAAAAGATCAAGAATGAGCGAGACATGCTGAGTATTCCTTTTCTACACCGCGTCACTGTTCTACTACACCGAGAAAACTTCAAAATATCATACCAACAGGCTCAAATTTCTACATTGATTAACAGTTTCCCCAAGTGACAGCCTGCATAAACCGCACGTCACTAAAGTAAATGTGCTTCTGAACAATAATGCTGCCTAAATTTGCATTTCGTTTGCGAGTCGGTAAGCTAGCGGGGTTAATGTTAAGAGTGAAATCAGTCTACTAACTGCGAGATGTCAAAATGCGTCGCCTCTGAACGAATTCGTTCACCTTTCTCCTAGCCTTTCAGTGGCAATTCTAACACATCTGATGGTCAAACTGGAGAGGAAGCAACTGCCAAAGCACGCATGGATACCAATTGCAGAAAGAGAAAAAAAAGAAAGAAAGCAAAAAGCGACGCACGCTTACTTTTCTGTCTTGAAACGACTTGATCGAGTAGGATTCCAGCAGGTGGTCGTAACCGTGATAGCCGACCATGGTAGCGAACTCGGGGCTATCTTTCAGCCTCCACTGCCAAAATTCTTCGAACAGCTCGCTTGCCATTGCCTCCGGATTACTGGAGTAGTATTCGACAAATGCCTGGATAGTCGACAGGACGTGAAGGGGTAATCAGACGCGATGCAGCACGGGACATGTGGCAATCTGAAGTGTGTCACTTCCCACCTCAAGCAGAATGAGGTTGATGCAGTGGACTGGAACGCGAGCTCCCAGCGCCAGCAGTTAAGCAGTCACACGATACAGAAAATACTTGACGCTACGCAGAGGTGCTAACTTGCTTTAACGCGAAATAGATACGGATCGACCGTACAGACAGTCACCTCACGTTTAACGATAAACCTTAGCAAACAATAAAAAAATAACACTAGTCCTGAAACATCCGCTCAGTAAAATCACAGAACACCTACCAGGTAAAATCAGCTAAAGAAAAACTAATCAATCATCTGATGTAGAGGCTACCTCACTGAGACTTCTCGTAGTCGTCAGAGTCTTAGTGCGCCGTAGAGCTTCCTTGACTTTACTTCCAGCAGCTGCGCTGTTTCTTAACCACCTATCCTCGACTGTGGCAACACACGTAATACAGGTCAATCCACTACTGTCGCAATGCAGCGATGACAATCGCGTTCGTGCGGCTTCGTCGCAAGCAAAACGCACGTGCCGGGTGACGCACCTTGTAAACATACGGAGAAATTGTGGCCAGCAGAAGCCCGCAGGCCGCCGCAAACGCCAAACTAAGTCCACCCATATAATCAGGAATAGCTCAGATGGTTCTTCGTAAGCTGTCTGTGAGCCTACTAAAACGAGATACCCTACATGTTTTTAGTGACCAATTCAGCGTTTCACCCCCATAGCTTTACCTGTTTTCACACTAAACCAATTTTTCGAGGCAAAGTACTCTAGCCTCTGCTAGAGCAACGCCTTCTCTTAAATACAGGAGGCGTTGGCTAAAGTCCAAAGCCACCACAGAACACCTACCAAACCAAAGTAGAAACGCGCTGGATGGATGATTAGATAGATGATTATGGCAGTACCCTTTAAATCGGGCAGTGGCTAGCGCCACCAAGCCGTAATACTTAATGAACCAAAAAAAACGAGATTAACTTTTTTTCCCTTTAAATAGTAAAGTTGAGAATTCGCACTTTGCAGTGAGGAGTTTAATTTTCATTCATGCCTTGACTTTAGCCACCAATCAGATAACCTCCTTCTAGTTAATTCTACCCGCTTAAAGCCTATTTTGCCCTCCCTGTCCCTAAACCCCAGTGCTTTGAAAAACTCTGCTCCATCAACCTGAACTATAGGGTGAAGCCCTATACAGATCATTATCAAGTGTTCGGCAGTTTCTCCTTCCTCTCCACACGCACTGCATACCGTGTCTACCCCTTCGTATTTGGCCCGATATGTCTTGCTTCGCAATACTCCCGTCCTGGCCTCAAACAGTAGAGAACTACCCCGAGTATTATCATAGATCCTTTCCTTGGCAATTTCCTGCTTAAAAGTTCAATAGATCTCTAGTGCAGACTTCTTAATCATGCCGATTCTCCACATATCGGTCTCAGCTTCCTTCAACTTCTTCTTAACCGATATATATATATTTTTGGTTTGGCCCCCTGCTGCTTTTAAGTATTTACCAGTCCATTTTCTGGTTCGCTTCCTCCATTTTGTATCGACATTCTTCATGTACAAGTAGCTGAATACCTTCCTAGCTCAACACTCCTCCCCCATTTCTCTCAATCGCTTCTCAAATTTTATCTTGCTGCGAGCTTCCCTACCCTCAAACGATGTCCATCCCATATCACCTTGTACTCCCTGATTTGGTGTATTCCCGTGAGGTCATAAGGCAAGCCTACCTATTCCACGTTGCTTAATTTCTAATATTGCTTGAACTTCTGATCTCATGCACAAGATCGCATTACCGAACGCCATTCCAGGAGCCATGACCCCTTTCCATATTCCTCTCATGACATCATACCTATTGTAATTCCACAGTGCCCTGTTTTTCATTACCGCTGCATTCACGTTACTTTTAGTCGTCACGTATATATCGTGTTCCCTTAGGTACTCGGCCCCATTGCTTATCCATACGCTCAGATATTTGTATTAATCTGTTATCTCTAGCGTCACCTCCTGTATTTTAAGTTTACTACCTTCATTGTCACTGAAATTCTTGAATGATGATTTTTCCTTACTGAATCTGAAATCTAACCTATCTCCCTCATTACCGCAGATGTCCACCAATCTCTGCAAATCTTCCTTTTTGTTGGCAATTAGCACTATATAATCTGCGTACATCATGCTGGTAGTGCCTGTTCAATGAGTTTTCCTTGTTTGACGAAAGAGAGGTCGAAGCCCAGTCCACTTCCCTCGAATGTGGCCTCTAATCCTTGTAGGTACATCATGAATAATAAGGGTGACAGGGGACACCCCTGCCTAAAACCCCCTTTTTACATCTGCAGGCTTGGATACCCGTTTTTCCCACTTTATAACTACCTTGTTACCTTTATAGATATCCCTTAAAAGATAAGTGACTACATCTTCCACGCCTAGTGTGTCCAGTATTCCCCACGATTCCTCTTGAACCACACTATCATACGCTCCCTTGATATCCAAACATGCTAGCCACAGGGGCCTGTGTTCCTTTTCTGCTATTTCGATGCACTGCATCAGTGATAACAGATTGTCTTCCAACCTCCTGTGTTTGCGAAACCCATTCTGCAGGTCCCCCAGCACCCCCTCATCCTTTATCCATGCCTACAGTCTTCCCTTTATAATCTGCATCGCCAGTCTGTAGACCACTGATGTCACTGTTATAAGACGGTAGTTGTTTATGTCAGCTTTGTCCCCCTTTCCTTTATAGATCATGCTCATCCTGCTAAGTTTCCATCTATAGGGAACTTCGCCATCGATTATTATTTTGGACACTGCATCTCTCAAAGCCTGCTTAGACTTCGGACCTAATGTCTTTATCAGCATAATGGGAATGCCATCTGGGCTTGTTGATGTACTACTAGGAACCCTTTTCTTAGCCCTTTCCCACTCTCGTTGTGAAAATGGAGCCATTGCGCCACTTGACTCATCCTTGTCGATTGTGGTGCATAAAGCACTTCTTTGTTGAAATTTTTCTGTCACCCTTGTTCTTATATATTCAATAGCTTCGTCCCCTTCTAGCCTAGCACCTTGAGCTGTAGGTATGAACCTCTGCTCTAGGCTGGTCTCATTTCTTAGGGTGTTTAAATAATTCCAACGTTTCGCAGTTGCCTTTCTATCTTTTTATGTACTTCTGCCAGCCACTGAGCTCCCTTTCTTCTAATTTTTTCATTGATCAGAAGGGATGCATCCTTTCTACAGCTTAGAAAGATTTCCCATTTTCTTTCAACATCATCAGTCGGTTCACCCCGCTGCTTTGCATGCCTGTGTTCCCTAGAGGCTTCCTAACGTTTTGCTATGGCTCTCTTAAGTTCCTCATCCCACCAATTTTTGGCTTTGTGTGTTCTTTTCTAGGGTGACTTGTAACGTGCCTTAGCAAGCTCTAGCTCAAACAGTCTAATTAGATTCGTGTATGTCCACACAGTTTTATTATTATCCTCAGTGATTACATTCTCAATTTGTTTAGTGGCTATTTATATTTGCCTTTCTGAAAAAAATTTTGTTCATGTAGTTGCTCATCTTGTCTCCTTCCCACTGTCACTGCTCTTCCAAAACTTAGCTTGATACGTTTGTGATCACTACCCAGACTTCTGGAGCCACCTTCATCTATGTGCATTCCCCTGAGCTTATCATACATCCTATGTGACATCAGTGCGTAATCTATCGTCGACTGCAGCCTTCCTACCTCCTATTTTATATGCCTTTCACACTTCTCGGTACTGTTGCAAATGATAAAATCAAACCTTTCACACATATCCATGATCACTTTGCCTGTCGGGTCGGTATACCCATCTATATCTTCTATGTGCGCATTCATATCTTCTAGTATAAGTATGTCGCACTCGCCTCCTAATTCCTCAACGTCCTGTGATATACACTCCACCATTACCTGGTTTTCCTCTCTGGCCTTTGCTTCCGTCCACAAGTACACCAAACCAAGGAGTGTCATCTGCCCATCTACTTTCCCTCTTAACCATAAATGTTCCATGCATCTGTGCTTGACTCTTTGCCAACCCATACTTTTATGTATGAATGCACCAATTCAACCCCCCTTTTTGCTGCCTTCTGTTCTATTACAATATTCCCACGAGTAGTTCGGATTGTTAGGAGGTTGTTCCATATCCCTGAGATGTGTTTCTACGAAACCGTATACCATCGGCCTCTCCTCCCTTAGCTGTTCTTTTAACTCTTCCCACTTCAGCCTGTTCCTACCACCCTGCATGTTAATATACCCTATGTCTGAATTGGCTCGGCGCTCGTGGCTACGTCTATTTCTGTCCCGGACTCTACCTATCTTAGATGCTGATGCCACTTTGCAATCGTATCTGTCCATACCACCTGTCAAATAGTCTCCCTGGTTGTTTTCCACGGTTGATTTTTTCGCCCCCTACGGGTGATCACTTGAACTTGAGAGTTTCCGGGGCCTGGCCAAACGCCAAGCGAGGGCCTTTTGCGGCGAGGGCCTTTCGCGGTGAACTCCCACGCCGCAGCGCTGCCGTGCCGGTCCCGTGGCAGAATTGGCATGATTAAGAAGTCGGCGCTGAAGATATGTGAAACTTTTAAGCAGGAAATCGCCAAGGAAAAAATCTATGATGATGATTGGGGTAGTTCTTTACTGTTTGATGCCGCGGCGGGAATATTGCGAACAAGGAGGTTATACTAAAGCTTCTGGAGTGGTGGAAGGGCTCTGTGGGCCAGTGGCTGGAGCGAACGCCTTGCCATATTGCTCAGGGCAGAAAGCGGTTTGGCGCGTTGTAGAGTATAGGGCTTTCGCGTTGTTTTCGTGCTAGTAATGGCTCGTGTGGTGCCTATAATTGAACAAGACGGTTCTGAACACGTCTGTAATCACTTTTCGAAAGGACGATGGTGGCCTCTTGGGTAGCATTTGGCTGCGCAAATAGTGTGAAGTTTACCCTGGGCACAACTTTCGATGTGTAAGTAGGCATGCTTCGCTTGCCCACTTTTCCTCCCATATTTTCGCGTCTATGACTGCATTCGCGAGTACATAGATTTCGTTTTTGTGTCCGGGTGCACAGAAACACTTCGAATAATTTTTGTACTTTTCACGATTCCAAAAACGTCATATTGCGTGGCACATGAGAGTGCGCTCTGAGGCGAGAAGGTTAAGCGGCAAAAAAGAATGGCGACTTATGCCCAATACACATGTTGAAGAAGCCTACTTCGACGAGACAGGGTAAATGACAAGATGACGGGCTAGTAACATTGCTACAGGGTTTGCATCGTTTCCATGCGCCCTTACAAAAGCCAGTGCATGTGTGCACTTAATACAAGTGAGCGCTTCGTTTTTGAATGTTAATGTAGCACCGGATCTGCATATCTGGGATTTTGAGTTTCATACATTTGCATGAACACTACGCTCCCAATGCCAAAATTTTTGATGTAGCAATATGTTTCTCTCTATGAAGGAGAAAAAGGAAACGAGCTCCTCTGAAAAAAATCATGGAAATACACTTTCGCTTGAAGCGCCTCTCACTGATGAAGCTGTCAAAATCCCGCCAACCCCAACTCCACTCACAAAGGAGTGGTACAGAAAAACACACAAAAAAACAAAACGAATGGTGAATTAATCGCGAACGAGGTACAATTAAACGCTCAAAAAGAGGGATAAGACATCGTAGCAGTACCAATGGGGCCTTCTAAAATATATTGAGGCTTCTCGGAATTTCATTGACCAGATAATAGAGCAGAAAATATCAGGTGAATGAATGAAATGAACCTTGTTTGGACCAGGCTCTTTGTATTTCAGCCCTATGGTGGGTGGTCTCCTCAGTTCAGGTAGCCATGGCTCGCTGCCGCCGCTCGAG